CTAAATTGCGCTTCAAGTAACTTAAAAAATTGGAAGTCTTGAAGAGATGCACAACCAACATGAAGGCCAGAAGCTGCATTCCTATTCATCCCAAAATAAGCTATAATAACTGGACTTTTACAAAAGAAGGAACAAACTTTTTATGTCACCTTTTAATGATCATTGGTTTGCACAGTTGAGTATTTCTGGGGTGTTTTGCAGTCTGGCAGTGATTGGCTCTTCCAAGGTCTTATTGTTAAGCAACAGCTTTTGAAGTTCTCAAAAACCCTTTCAAATTTTATCTAAAATTATGATAAAAGAATTAAGAATTTTATTTTTTATTGCAAATAAATTTTTTAGAACATAAAGGTTCCAAATGTAAAACACATAGCCTGTGTTTTTAATGTCTCTTCATGGTAATGAAATTTTGGTTATCTATCCCTCTTTGTGAAATCTGTCAATGCTTTAACTAAACTAATTAATGTGCAACAAATAAAATTGCAAGCTTCAAAAATACTAAATATTGTACAGAACCTTCTTTAAGGTCTGTAACTCAGTGGAGAAATTGTCATCCCAATCTAGTACTTGCATAATCTCGGTAATTGATACTTGATGTTTCTGAAAAACCTCGTGAAAGATCAAGGTGGTAACACTGAACTGTGTCTGTGATGCTGCGGTGGCATGTAGTATGTACACATCAAAATGGTTGACAATTCCATTGTCAGGTGATTTACTTACATGAATCAAATGAAGGAGTGGGATAATGGAATATGTGGGTCATTTTCCACAGCAAAAAACTTCATTAGTTTATAGATCTTGCCTTATCAAGTCTTTAGCCAGCATTCTTAAAACAAAACAAAACAAAAAACACACTCCAACAAGCTCCCCCAAAAAACTAACCCAAAAGTAAAAAAATAAACCCAGCTCGGCCTTTTCACCCTAGTCACTTACAAAGGCACTGAAAGGTACCATTTTCTTATGTAAACTGACTACTGAGAAAGTATGAAAGGATTATTTGCTGATTGACTAAACCTAAAAACTTCCTCAGCATGAATACACATAAGCAAATATAATCCAGAATCAAATGCCAATGTTGCACTTCCATTTTTTTTCTGATACTTGTCATTTCCCAAAGGCTGGATTTCAGAAACCAGTATGTTGAGCAGAAATTAGTAGTTTGCATGTGTCCTTCTGAATTCTGAATGTTCCATTTCAGCAGGAACGTGTGACTGCTTTTGTTTGTAGCAAAAGGGTGATTTTTATTTGCTCTGTGTCGAAAAAGTTTCTTAAAGGTCTGGTGTTTATAAATCAGCTATGCATAAAGAGGTTTCTCTGTCAATGCAGAATTGGACTTTTGGCCTTTTACTGACTTGTGCTGTTTACTGAGTTTTCTCCAGCAACCTCTATAACAACTCGTATTCTTTGATCTGTAATTTCACTGCACAGATGCTTCTTTCTCAGTGAAGTTTTACTTAACTAATTCTCTTCAACTGGAAGCTGAAGATGTGAGTAATTTTGTTCAGTTACACTCACAGGTTTGATTTTAGATCCTTTGCACCTACTCCGTGGCCTTCTGATTTTATTTCTTGTAAAAGGATCACTTTTTATAGTTATCCATTCTAACTCATGTTCCTTTGAATTCAGTTCCTAACTACTTCCTTTTGAGCTGCACTTGAAAGGGCCTTAAGGTTCAAGCCTTTTCTTTTTTTAATCCTTTTTGTATTCATTCATCTCTCACTAGAATTTCACTCCTCTCAAAGTAGGTCTTGGCTATGATTCTGTAAGTCTGGGAATACAGTTATTAGAACATCCTCTTATTTCTGTAAAAAACAAGTATTTTAACATTTTAACGTTAAATACCTAAAGGATATTGCTTTCATTTAGAAAATAATGCTATGTACTTTGAATTTGGTTTTATAGTTCTATTTATTTAGTTATATCATTAGAAGGTACGTTCATAGTCACATTTCTTAAGAATGCTTAAGGGTTCCAAATTCCCATCAAACTACTACAGATTTGCATATAGTAAATTGAAAAAAAAATGGATAATATAGTTTTTCTTCTGTATTTTTTAGTAATACTGATCATTTTCTTTTTTCTTGGTCCTGCTGTTTAACTGCTGGAAACAGATCAGTAAATTCCAGTTGGCTGATCTTTTTCACCTTTCTTACTAAGACCAAGATAATTGAAAGTGTCTGCTTTTATTCCACTATGTAATAAAGGGAATTGAAGATATTCTGGAACTTGTTGAAAGGTATTTTTTTAAAAGGAGCAAGTATTTACCACAAGAACTGCTATACTTCTGCTTTTGACACTGTATGAGAAGAAAAAAACATTAAGATTGCATTTTCAAATAGCAAAAAAGTGTATATTTGGTTTGGTTTTAGCTATATTTTATTTAATTATATCAGTTTGTCTTTAATTCTACCTGCCTGGATTTCCAGCCTGCTTGAAAAACTTGGTCTTTCAAATTTCTGTTTTCTTAGGGAAGAAATTCCCTGTCTTTTCCAAAGAAATGATGCTTAAAGTGAGGAAATACTAAAGCTGGGTTATAACCAGCTTCATTTAAATATTATTATCATTCTTTGCCTGATATTACCTTTGGCACTTCTGATTATGTCAGACTCATACTACAGCAAATTTTGTGCATCTTTGCATTGATAATGCTCTTTCAAATATTACAGGCATGGTCTTCTTGTAAGTGAAGTCTGGTAACTCTGCCTTCTGCCCACTTATTTACATCTTCATAATAGATTGCCACCTTCAAAAATATAAAGGGGCCTTGGTGTTGAAAGTATTTCATTTTACTAATGAAAAATATGAATAGAATCTAGAATCACACTCTGATTTTGGATATTCAGCTCCCAGAGAGTGACAGAAGGCCTGGCTATACAGACATGCTATTCCAGTCTTTTAAAGGAAAGATAATCTCAGTCATTGCCAGATTTAAAAGGCAGGTTCTGCACAGCACATTTAGGAATAATACTAGGAAAAAAGAGATTCTAGCTTTCTTCCTTCTGTGGTTTTCCATAACACTCAGCAAAGATTGAAAATAGAAAGTGGATTTTGTTGAGGTATTTTTGTGAGATCTTCAAAGCAGCAGTTTTAATAAAGTTGTTTTCAGTGTTCTTTGCCAGAATATTTGTGAAGGTTATAGATCCCTGTAGATAAAAAACTAGGATTTTAAATCATTACTCTTCTCTTCCTGTCTTCATACTAGAAAAGCACTTTACAATGAAGATTTTGGGGGTTGGGTGGGTTTGGGTGGTTGTTTTTGGTTTTTGTTTTTCTTTTAATAAAGATAGAGTTTGGAAAATTATTACCAGATTGAAGTTTGCTTATATTGTTGGGTTTTTTGGTCTCTTGCTCAGGTTATTTTCCCTTTAACATTAAAATAATGTTACCAATTTGACATTTTTAACCTCATTGTGCTTTCAAATCCCGGTAAGGGTTTGAAACTAAGTGTCATTAGTTAACTGTAAAAGTATCTAATAGTTATCTTTGACATCCAGAGTTTCTGAAAAAGTTTACAAAATATTTAAACATTTTTTTTAAATTGGAAGTACTTTACTGTCTTTAAAATATTGTAGCAATTAGAATGTGCCTATGTTCTGTTGAGCACTTCTTGCAGAGCTACTGAGATATTGTAGGTATATTTTTAGGTTTGCTCAGAATTCAAGTCTCAGTACAAAAGAATCCTTCTGCTATTGAAATACAGCAATTAATTCAAGAATATTTTGTAATGAGTTATAGTTATCCCAGACAGTTTCTTTGATCTTATTTTGATAGAAGGTAAATGCATTACCTGTTTTACACATTTTTATTGAGTTCTTTCACCTTAGCTGGAGGTTCTCCGTTGGAAAGACTTTCACTACCTAGTTCTAGGTTATTTGCCTTCCAGAATGCCCAGTAAACCATCTTGAGAGAAGGAAAGTAAAATTTATGTAAGTGGATGACAAAAACAATGATATTGGATAAATCAGTAAACAAGGATAGGCATGATAATAGTTCAGCAAGTGAAGAAAAGGAGGTAAACTTCAAATGCCTAAGAACCTGCAGAGGCTATTTCTATCTATTGAATGTAAAGTGAGTGGTATAAATAACTTTTATGTGTTCATTCCTTAGAGGGGAGAGGTAAGAGAAATGCTGATTTTATAGTATTGTTCCCTACATATAAATTTCTCGAGTTTTCTGTTATTTTAACAAAGATCCTTATTACTTTTTGCCTTTTTTCCCCTCCATCAAGAAACTTATTTAAAATTGATTAAAGGATTCTCTTTTTTTCAAGTAACTTCAGAGAATGCTTACTAGAGTTCTATTTTTTTTAATTGAAGAGGAGTTTCTCAATGAAAAATCTTGGTCATCAAATGAAAACTCTGGAATTAACATATTCAGCTTGGACCTAGTAATATAAATCAAAATTCAATTCAGATTTTGAAAATTGTTACCCATTTTCTTTTCCTGGATTTTAAATGCCCAGTGGGAGATACCTTAGTGTCCACTACTACACAACCCAAAGCACAGAATAAAATCTTTCAATAAGATCTGATGGAAAGAAACTCTGAAACTGTCAGATACCTAGATTGAGCCAGCAACTTCAGGCAAGAGATAGTTATGTCAAAACTTCTAAAAGCTTGGCATCTCAACTTAAGTATGCAAAATAACCAGAATGTAAACTGTAGCAGATATTTCTCTACTGTTTTTTTGCCACACAAATCTACGATATTGTTTCCATTCTCTGTAAAATGTAGAGATATGCATTCAGGCAAACCATTGCTAAAAAATTTGGATCTGTAGATGTTTCAGATTTGTATGTGAAAAAGCAGAAGTCCAGAATTTCATAGGATGTTGGTCCACATTTTGATATAGAAAGAAAAATGTAAATATGAAGTAACATTTATAGTTATTAATAAAGGATTTAATCAGACATTTTTTCTTAATAGTGTCAATTTGTGGTCATATATTTCAATGTGTTTTTATTTTCCGAAGTAATTGTACTGTATTTTATTTATGTATTTTAGGCACGGAAGGGGCAGTGTTTGGGCACTCTGTGGAGACACCCCATATCAGAGCAGAACCTTCCCAAGACCTCAAGTAGGTGTTGTTCAAAAAGTTGTTTTAAAATCAAGTATTCTCCAAAAAAAAAAAAAAGTCTGGATTAACATAAAACTATCTGTTATAGTAGTAGATATATTGCCTATTAAATGACTCATAGATATGAAAACACTGATAGACTCCAATTTCTTCTAAGCAGTCAAAGAAACCCCACAAACTCCTATCACACGAAATGTAAAATACAGTGGTTTTTATATATGATCTGCCTCCCATAGTAGAATTCTTGGGAAAGATATTTTCCCTTCGACTGGAATATTTGGGTGTTTTTAAGGTCCCGTGTGTGCAGTTTTGTTCAATAGCATCAGACCAGTTTGATTTTTTATGAGCTGTTGCAGAATATATAGGTCAAGTAAAAGTAAACAGTTCCAGATTTTCTCATTTAGCTTTTCAAAAGCGCACTTTTCAAAAATTCATTACCAAGTGAGGCTATATTTCTAAATGTAAATTTTTTCTGCACATAGTCAAAGAAGTGGAGAAATCAGTAGATAGTAAAAGATTAAGTTTCAAATTTACTAAGGAATCTGTAGAAAATAAAGCTAATAAAAAGTTTACAGTGAAAGCTTTTTTTTGAAATGCATGTATGTGCACTGCTAAGCACTAATCTGTGATTTATAATGAGAATCACAGAAAATCAGAGGTCCTTCCTTGTACTACTGCCAGCAGAACTGCTGAGAAACAGTATAGACTTTGACTCAATTCTACTGTGATTTTTAAACATTATATAACTATCTCCTTACCTGCTCAGAAGTGTTTCTGATTAATTGCTACAGAAAAGCATGGTTAAATGCTCAGCCTTACATTTGCAAAGGCATTTAGGATCATTAAGCAATAACAACATTGTAGAAATCATTTGCAGGAAGCTGTCCATGTGGACAAGTTTGACCATTGTTCGTGGAGTGTGTGAAGTGAATGATTGTGTTTGATTATTTCTACTAAACATTTTAAAGTAATGTATCACTTTGGGCTCTTCCAGAGGATCCTGCTCACTGGATTTCTGTCTTAAAAATCTCTGTCCCCTTCCATGACTCCTGCCAGTCCTTTTTGGAAAATAATTGTTGAGGCATTTATTAGTGACAATCACCAAAGTGATGTGATCTCTGATCAGAGGAAGTTCAGCAGAAATCAAAGAAACATAACAAGCTTTTTCTTTTTTCAAGGGACCAATAATTTGGGTAAGGGGCTGGAACTTGTCCCACTCAATAGAATGTGGAAACACTGCTTTCTCTACTTCTTTCTAATCATTAAATGATATCAACAGAATGAAAATGTATGGTAAAACAAATAATCCTGTGTCTTCATGATTAATTTAATTAAGGCTAAAATCACCACACGTTGCTTCTGAAATTCACACATGGGACATTCACCCCTCCAGTCTTTTGTCTTTATTCATTCCCATGATTCTTATTGTTGCTTAATGTTTTCAACTCCACTGTTACTTCAGTTCATTTTCCAAGATGGACTTAAATTAGTAAACATTTGGCATTCAGCTTTCTACCCTCTCATTAACAATGATTTTAACCCTTACCTTTTATTCAAAAAATTGAAGAAACAGACACACTTGGAGTTAGGTCAAGTAACCTTAGCTTACTTGTAAGTGATTTATTCTTAATATATTCAGTCCATATTATGTTCTGTAAGTTTTTGTACACACATTCTCCTTTATATTAGTTGGATTCCATCATATTCTTTTTAAAAACTCTCAAGTCAATTTACCAACTTTAAAATGATGGCAATTACTATTAGGACATTTCAGTGGGCTGGTCTGAGTCCTATTACTTTTTAATGTTTTAGATTAAACTTACCCAAGGTGTCCAACTATGGCATCCTAAAACTACCTAGAGCATTTTTTCAAGTGCTGAATCCCTGTGTCTTTGGATGTTAAAACTTAATGGTAAGTAATGGGAGAGTAGAAAGTTTGCTGAATTAACATTATGCATTTTTTCATTGGACACACTTGAATGTAATTTGACAGCAAATCGCAATGCATAAATGAAAATATATTAAGAGATGAGAATTATTGTATACAGGGCAGAAAGATAATAGAATATACATTAAATCAATAATTAAAGTATGAATCACCCCTTTTTTTTCATGTTGGAATATATATATATGTCAATCAATAAACCTCGGATGTCAGACTTTTTTTCCCTTTTTCTCCAAAATAAAAAATGCTGGAAACCTATTCATAGCCTTGTATATATAAAATTATTGACTACTGAATTTTAAAAATGGAATAATGATCACCTTGATTATTCTGAATGAAACATAACTAGAAAATTTGCTCTAAGGATTTGATATCTGCAAGGATCAGAGTACTTCCTGGGATTTTAGTTTAATCTATCATGGACAGGGAGACAAAAAGATAAAGTCAGATTCACATAAGCTCCAAATACCTAAATCTTGCCTCAGACACTCTTAGTTCTATAGCCAGATTTTGAGGCCTTCACACAGAGAAGCTCCCATAAAATTTACTATTAAAAATGTGTTGTGTAAAAATAAACTTTAGTTGAGTACTTGCAGAATTCATTCCTATGTGTCCAACAATTTTGGTCACATCTTTCTCCTTTCTAGCACTTTCAAATAATAGCTAGAAAGGTTTTGCTTTCAAACAGTGCCGTTATACAATCCTTTGTAAAAGCTTTTGTGTCAAGTCCCAAAAACTAATTAAAGATGACTTTCATTAGTTGGGATAAGTAGCATAAAAGAATCATGCATTAGAATCAGAAAAATTAATTATATCTTAATAATTTAATCTTCCTGTTTCTCTCACTACTGTTTCTCACAGGAACACAGTTAGGAAAACTAAACTGCCAATATATTCCCCAAATACTGATTTTAGGCCAATAGTGCATTAAAATATGCTGCACTAATAGGCCATATCCATGCACAAAATAGACAGACAGTAGTTAAATGCAGATAACTTTGCCCTCAGTATAATCCTTAATAAGGGGATGAATTAATTTGTTGTTGTCCTCTGGAGATGACTGCAAGATCAAATTTAAAAGTTTTTTTTCTCTTCTGTGTCATGCCTTGCACACCACTATCAGTTAATCCTGCAAGCTAGTGCTGGGAATAATGAGATGAAAATTGATCAAGTGGCAAGGCACCATGCAAGATAGTTGGATTCTACTTTACTTCTAATAAGAATTAAAAATATTCCTATCTTACACAGGCGGTCTGGTTCACTCAGAGTTGTCTAATGTTTTGTAAGAGACACCTTTTGTGACATTTAAGAGGTGGTTTTCTAATAGGTCAAAGTATATATTTTGTAAAAGCCTGGAGCCAGAGAACACATCAGAAATTTTGACCTTAACTTGTTGGTTATCTGAGCAGGTTGAGAGTGACAAAATCACCATGACTCTGTTCATCTATTTTTAGCCAGAAATCGAATATTAAATAAAACCTCATCAAAAGGTAGAAGATGCAGCAGAGTATGAAAACCCATCTCCCTTCCTAAGCTGTTTTAATGATGTCACATTCTAGTTACTCTTAGCACCCTTTCTTAATATAATTGAAATTAATTATTTTTTTTTTCATATTTTGTGTTATTTCATTGTTTGGACATGTATATTGACAGAATTTTTTTTGCTTAGTCTTACCACTAGATGTTGAAAATACGACTTTTTAACATACATGTTCATACAAAAATAAGTATGGGTATAATAAAATTCAAAAAATTTCCAAAAGTTAAGCTTCCCTTTTTAAATATACATGTGATCTTCTCTTTTTAAATATACATTATATACATTTTTATTTATATATGTAATTTTAAAAATATGGAAGTAAACAGAGAAGAAAGCCAATAATGAAAGTTTATTGCTATGCAGACAGGACAGAGTAGAAACAAAAGGTAGCTGGGTATGGCTCTTAAACTGAAAGAATAATTTACTGTAGTTTTTAGTGGTGATAATTATATTTGATATTGGAAAGGGAAAAGGCTATAATAGGAACCACAATATGAAGGATAAAAATATTGCTATCATGAGAGATAGAAAAATCCATTGAGTTTAATATGGTAATTTAGGATACAGGAGCCTCCTTTTCTCCAGGCTAAACTACCCCAGCTCCCTCAGCCACTCCTGTGTCTTACACTGTGGACCCTTACCCAGCTCCACTGCCCTTCCCTGCACTTACTGTAGCACCTCAATATATTTATTGCAGTGAGGAGCCCAGAACTGGACACAGGATTTGAGGTGCAGCCTCCCCAGTACCGAGTACAGGAGGACAATCCCTGCCCTGCTCCTGCTGGCCACACTATTGCTGACACAGGCCAGGTGCCATTGGCCTTCTTGGCCACCTGGGCACTGCTGGCTCATGTTCAGCTGCTGTCACCAGCACCCCCAGGTCCTTCTCTGCTGGGCTCATGATTATGTTTGCTTTATGATTATGCCATGCCATGGCTTCAGGAACCCACAGATGGGCTCCAAGCACAGCTGTCTCAGCCTACACAGGGTTATGAGAGTAAATATATTACCCTATAAATCTCATCTGAAAACCCATATAAAGCTTGTAGCACTAGAAAGCATTTGCACAGTGCTGAGTTAATGAAAGACATGGCAACTTTACACTGTGGTTGTTGTGAAGGCAGCTGAGGATATTTGCTTACGTGAAGCTCAGTCATGTCTAATGTCAGGCAAAAGCAGTGAGTGCTCAGAGTGCCAGAGGGGGATGTTGAAGGTTTCAGTAGGTGCCCTCCTGTGTGCCTGAGGCTCCTGCAAGACTTGTTTCAGCTCTGGTTGCCTTTACAGTGCTTTCAGATCCAAGCTGCTACTTAATTAATTCTGATTGCACATGGGTCTGGCCTAGGACTAGGCACAACAACCCACAATTTGTTCAAGCTTTTCATTTTCACAGATACTGCAGGTAGAAGTGTTTCACTGTCTTTTGAAATGGAAGTTGAGCAACAGTCCTCCATACCCAGGAGATATTAGATACCAGAACTCATTTCTGACATGCTTTGAACTCTAAATACAGTCTTG